CTGGGTTCAAGCAATTCTCCTGCCTCAGCATTCTGAGTAGCTGGGACTACAGGCGCACGCCACCAGGCCCAGCTAATTTTTGTATTTTTAGTAGAGGCAGGTTTTCACCATGTTGGCCAGGATGGTCACGATCTCCTGACCTCATGATCTGCCCATCTCGGCCTCCCAAAGTGCTGGGATTACAGGCGTGAGCCACTGCGCCCAGAGCTTTTTTAAGGACCTGATGTTCTGGTCCTGGGAGCTGGGACAGTTGGCTGCTGTGGAAAAGCCAGGAGTAGTTGCTGGAAGTGGGGAGAGGAGGGCGAAGGGCTGAGCAGTTTGTTTGTGGACACCTTGAGCTAATGAGAAGCCGGGGAAGAAACGTGAAGGGCTGTAATTATTGCTCAAAGCAATGGCAGTGCCCAGAAGGGGGGCAAATGGGGCTTTTTCTCCAGACGTTCTTTCACTTGGGGTTCATTCTAGCATCTCCCTAGGCCAGGCCCACACCCTCCGAGGCCCTTCTCCCTCTGCAGCCCACTTCAGCCTAAACTGACCTTTGTGGCACCCTGTCCCCACCTGTAGCTCCAATCATCTGAGAAACCAGCCCTGAGCTGCCGCTGTTTGCCTGCCTGAGATGAAGACGTTAAGTTATTTTTGACTGAGATCCAAGCCCTGGCCCTGAATTCTTTTGTCTTCCAGGAATCCCCCAGCTGTGTTTGAAGTCTGCAAGTCCAAACAGCAGACGTGGCTGAGGATGGCGGAATCCAACCACCCTCCATCTCCATCTCCAGCGCTCTTCCATTATTGCCCGCTGTCTGCCACATCAAACAGAACAAGACTGCTACATGGATTTCTTTCCCTTTCGTCTCTTCCTTTCACTCCAGGGCCCCCAGTTTTCTGAGTAACTTAAATCATTACTGAAAGATGTCTAGGTTCACAGACCAAACCCTTTCAAAGCAAGGTGTGGGCTCCCAAAAGTTGAGCTCAGAAGAGCACAGAAAAAAACTTTCCCAGTCCCAAGATTTAGCCAATCACACATTCAGGGAAACAATCCACTACTTTTCGAGGTCTAACCTTCCTTCCCTGACACCTCCTTGGGGCCTGGCTGGCCCAGGATCCCATTTCTGAATTCTCTTTGGGCCCCAAGACTTCAGTATGACCTTCACTGTGCTACAGGCAGATCCCGTCTCCTCAGTAGACCATCTGTTCTATCTTACCCATCAGGCCGGTCACAGTGGCTCACACCTATAATCTCAGCACTTTGGGAGGCCGAGGCAGGAGGATCTCTTGAGCCCGGGAGTTCAAAACCAGCCCGGGCAACATAGCAAGACCCCGCCTCTACAAAAAAATAAAAAACCTAGCCAGGTGTGGTGGCATGGGACCTATAGTCCCAGCTGCTTGGGAGGCTGAGGTGGGAGGATCCCTTGAGCCCAGGAATTTTAGGCTGCAATGAGCTGGAATGTCATAGCTAGAAGACCAAAATAAACAAATAAATAAATATAAATGAGGAAAATCTCGCCCATCTCTCTGATGAATGCTCTCTTCTCCACAAGTCTTTCCTCAGCTCTCCAACCCAAACGAACCACTCCTTCCTCGGAATCGCTTTTTCCTTTTTTTTTTTTTTCCCCCAGTCTTTCTAAGGTTCAATTCAGGTAATCCCTTTTTCCTTTTGACCTTGAATTACATCTTCTAAGTTTTCTCTTCCTGATACCAGAACGTATATTCCTTGAAGGGGAGGGTTATGGCTTACTCAATTTCACATCCATTGCAATGCACAACATTGCACACCATAGAAACAGACAAATGCCTGTTTAATGAAAAACAGAGGATGCCTCTCTTGATGTGACCCAAAGTCTAATTATATAGTTATTACTCTCAGCCTGCAACAAGAGACAACTTTTATGTATGGAGAAAGAATTCTTCTGAATAATGATAATACGCCTGTATGCCTGCTGCCTTTAGTTCAGAACACTTCCGCATTTGCCATTGCATTCCATCCTCAAAAAGCCAGCCTTTCAGAGGTGAGCAGAACAGATACAATTGCCTCCATTTTACAAACGGGAACACTAAAATTCCTGGGCCCAGGGAAGGTTTGATTCTCTATGCCTCTCAGCAAAGTTTTTGTTTAAAGAGTGAAATACAAAAGCCCCTGAGGGTAGTGAGTGCCCTTGGCCCCAGCCGATGACCACTGCCTACAGAGACTGCTTTCCCAGGGCAATCGGACAAGGCTAAATCCCAGCGCACAAATAGGGCTTGTCCAGCTGCAGGCTTGGATGAGTCAGAAACTTCGGGGGTTGTGTCTGGCTTTGTAGCTAAAGCTTCCATTCGTCTATTTATCTGCTTTGTTTCTCTCAACCTATGTGTGCAATCCGTCTTCCCAGAAAAAGAGGAAATGATCTGATATTCTTCCCCACTGCACAGAACCAGGCACCAGAATGTCCAACAGACTCTGTGGAGGGGAAGAAATGGTGTGAGTCTGGCAGAGCCAAGGGCAATCAGCTGCAAGGCCTGTGGTAAACCTTGACATTAGAACTCACCATCTAGGAGGGCAAGGATTTGTTAGTTTGCAGTATTATTATTATTATTATATTTTTGAGACAGAGTCTCGCTCTGTCACCCAGGCTGGAGTACAGTGGCGTGATCTCAGCTCACTGCAACCTCTGCCTCCCTGGTTCAAGTGATTCTCCTGCCTCAGCCTCCCAAGTAGCTGGGATTACAGGTGCCCGCCACCACTCCCAGCTAATTTTTGTATTTTTAGTAGAGACAGGTTGTCACCATGTTGGTCACGCTGGTCTCGAACTCCTGACCTCAAGTGATCCGCCTGCCTCAGACTCCCAAAGTGCTGGGATTACAGGCGTGAGCCACCGCGCCCGGCCTGCAGTGGGATCTTTGACTCCTAGAATGATTCTTGGCACATAGAAGGTTCACAAAAAGTATTTGCTCCATGAATGAACCTGTCCTATTTGTACTTCCCCAGGCCTAGAGAAGGCCTCCCAGAGGCCAGAATCCCTGGGAAGTCTGCCCAGTGTCTGGTCTCATAGGACTTCGTTGGCCTCCTTTGGGGAAGAAGGTCAATTCAGCCCAGCATCTGCTCCAGTGAGGGGCTGCTGTGAGGAATGACGTGAGGTCCGTGAGGTAGGCTTTCCGATGATGAGGCAGCAGCAGCAGCAGCAGTAAGGCATCCTGGAGCTCCATGTTCAGTGTGGCAGGAGGCGGCGGGCGCTGGGGAAGCAGTCCTGAACATAAACGCGGGCGCCGCGGGAACAGCAGCAGCCACTGCCTGGGAACATCAGGCAGGGGAGTGAGACAGTGGGCACTCAGATCCACTTCCTCCATCTCTCAGCCACACAGCCCAAGTGAGGCTGTGTGAGAACTTCTCAGTGCACATTGTAAATACCATCTGTCACACTGCCTGCCCAGACGCGGCCTTCCTCCCTGCAAAGGAAGCATTCTTTATTATTTATGCAGAATGCACCCTACTTAAGTGTTGCACCACCAGGAGAGAGAAGAAAAAGCCTGCAAGAGTCAAGGACTCCAGGGATCTGTCCCTCGGATAGCAGCTGGTTGGGAGGGCTTGGTCATCCATCTTTCTGGGGTGGGAGGTTAATTCAGTCGGGCAACAGCGCAGCCCTAGGAATTAGGAGGCCTGCGTTCTCAGCTTAGTTCTCTCACCAGCTTGCTATGTGACCTTGGGTAGGCACATCACCCCATGGGCCTCCATTTTTTTTCATCTGTAAATGCAGGGTCAGACTGCATGATCCATGACACCCCTTCCAGCAGCTCTCAATTCAAGTGGTGTCCCTCTCACCCTTCTCTGTCCTGAGTGGGCCCAGAAGCCTGTTCATTATGGTCAGCTCTCCTTCCCCAGCTAGCCGGGGAAATACAGTTCAAGATCTGATTTATTAGCACCTAACAGCAGGTCCAGGGACCAGCAGACCTAGGCTCTTGTCAAAGCTCTGTTGCCTTGTGCCCCTGGGAAAGGCAGTTTCCTCATCTCTGTTTTGTCTTTTGTGAAACAAATGGGAGGGACTAAGAGATTTCTGCAGGAGAATCCATCTCCAAACTCCATAAGCCCTGATTTTTCCTTCCAAAACGCGGCTGAGAAACCAGCCCAAGCCTCTAGACATGGAGATTAGTGAGACACAGTTCTCTGCCTCCAGTGAGCTCCATGTCGGCTGGAAAAGGCATGCTAAAAACAACTGCAGGCGCCACGTGACAGGTACCAAGTAGACATGGATGCGAAGGATGTGGCGGCATGAAGGGGTCCAAGTAGGAGATGCTGGGGCTGAATCTTAGAAGATTGAGTAGGAGTCCTCCAGGTGGATGAGGCCTGAGGTGTTCAGGATAGAAGGAACTGCATGTACTAAGGCAGGAAGGTGTGAATCTGCATAGGAAATGCTCACTTGTTCATCGTTAGGGTGACAGTGACATTCTGAAATTCTTTGCACTGGCTGCTTCCTCTCCCGCCCCTTAGAACGATTAGGTCCTCCCTGGGTTAGGGGTGAGGGGACTTATGGTTGATGGCTCTTATGGCCTCCTTGCCCATCAAGTGCATCACCAAGGAGACGAGTGACTTGATCAAGTCCCCCCTTCCACCTGCCTGTCTCTGTTCTCTGAATGAAAATAAGTGAAGCAGAATGAAATTGGGGGGCTGGCCCAAGGGGTCCAAAGGTGACCCAAAACTCTCCAACCTTGCCCGCCACCAGGCCTGGTCAGGAGAGGAACATGGCGCTGTGCAAAATGGGACCCAGCGGCTGACGGGTGCTGTCTCGGTTTGTTGGGCATCCTTCCCTGTGCAGCCAGAGCACGTGGTCTGTCCTACAGCTGGGGTGGCTTATTGTGGCTCCTTGGGGAGCTGTCCAAGTCCTCTGCAGAGAAATGGAGTTAACCTGTCCCTTCTCCGTGAAGGACATCCTGCAACAGAAATGCACTTCCCCCCACCCCAGCTTCTCCATGTGGTCACTGCAGCTCTGGGCTGCAGCTCACACGCCTGGCTCTGCATACTCCAAAATATACAAGAACGGCAGAGGGGAGACACATGCATCCAAGACATTGTTAGCTGTGAGCAGCCTCAGAGGCTGTGAGCCGTGGGGTTAACCAGGCTCAGGGAAAGCCTGTGAAGCATCAGTAAACATTCTCCTAGCTTGGCTTGCTGCAACAATTTATATCCCAGAGAAAAAGGGGCCACAAGTCAGGGAAATACCAGAAATGCTGAAGGAACTGGCACATTTGCCAGATGGTTCCTGGGGCACAATTGTATTTGCAGAGGGACAGTCTGCAGGGAGGTCTTTTCGTCAGAGAGCAAAGATGCCGGCTGACCGCTCATTCATTATCTCAGGGCTCATTGGGAGGAAGTTGGTGGTTGGCGCACACCCGCGCTTGTCCTTCCTTCCCGGAACCTTGAAGCTGTGGTTGCCTGAAGCTGAAGTGGCATTCGGGATTGGGCTTCTCCAAACACCCCCAGCTCTGCTCCTTTAGACACCTGCCACCTGTGTCGCTTTCTCCCAACTTACACCAGCCAGTTCATTCTCCCAACTGCCAGCTGTCATTTTGTCCTTAGTGCAACTGGACAGATTTTAGTAAATAACACAGCTTGGGCTCCGGCAATACGAGTTCAGTTGTGCTACCAGGGCTGACCTATGAGGCAGTAGGGACAAGGCTGGGACAGGCTAAGTGGGCTTGAAAATACTAATAACTGGGGCGGGTGCAGTGGCTCACGCCTGCAATCCCAGCACATTGGGAGGGCAAGCAGGGTAGATCACAAGGTCAGGAGTTCGAGACAAGCCTGGCCAATATGGTGAAACCCCATCTCTACTAAAAATACAAAAATTAGCCAGGCATGGCTAATTTTGTATAAAAATACAAAAATTACAGGCGTGTGCCTGTAATCCCAGCTACCCAGGAGGCTAAGGCAGGAGAATCGCTTGAACCTGGGAGTTGGAGTTTGCAGTGAGCAGAGATTGTGCCACTGCACTCCAGCCTGGGCGATGGAGTGAGACTCCATCTCAAAAAACAAAACAACAACAACAACAACAAACAAAAAAAAGAAAAGAAAGAAAACATGAATAACTGACAACTGGAAGGGCATTTAAAATTACTTGCTGCATAAGCACAGAATTTTTAAGAACTCATTGCTTTGGTCCTGGTATTGCATATGTCTGCCTTTGTCTTCCTCCACTAAACTAGAGATTTTTTTTTTTTTGAGACAGAGTTTTACTCTGTCACCCATGCAGGAATGCAGTGGAGTGCAGTGGCACGATCTCAGCTCCCTAAAA